GTAGGGGAGGGTGGAGGTAAGGGAGGAAGATCAACCAAAGGACTTACATGCAGGCATATAGGCCTAACCAATGGACATGGACAACGGGGGGGAGGGCAAGAGCGGGGGGAGGGGTAGAAGGGTAACGTGGGACAAGGACACAAATGTAATATCTTAATCAATAAAAAATATATTTAAAAAAAACAAAAAAACAGGAGCGCTATCGCGCTCTTCGCATTTTGGGAGTATCATAAGCAGAGCGCGATATATTTAAAAAAAACTAAAAAACAGGAGCGCTATCGCGCTCTTCGCATTTTGGGAGTAACATAAGAAGAGCGCGATAGCGCTCCTTAGCAGTGAAACGGTTAATACTAATATCTTCTGCCATCTTTCTTAAGATTATATAACTCTCCTGATAAGATTTTTCAAAACTCATTGCAAACCTCTCATATGTTTAAATTTTGTATTTATATGTTTTCTTTACCATTTAAAAAATTTGCCTGGCTGGCATGGCTCAGTGGTTGAGCATCAACCTATGAATCAGGAGGTCACAGTCCATTGATTCCGGGTCAGGACACATGCCCATGTTGTGGGCTCAATCCCCAACAGCAGGCAAACAGGAGGCAGCCAATCAGTGATTCTCTCTCATTATTGATGTTTCTTCTCTCTCCCTCTCCCTTCCTCTCTGAAATCAATAAAAATATATTTTTAAGAATTATAGCAAGACGTGTTTGTATAGCTTACAAGTCCTGTCAGCAATATCTTAAACAAAAAGCAAATCTAGAGTCTTTGAAATCTCAAAAGACAGTTTATGGAAGTCAATAACAACTAAATAGAAAACAAATATTACAATATAAAATAATAGCAACAAAACAGTGAGAATGTGATTTCCTGGGGTAAAAAAAAAAAGTTCTTTTAAAACACTAACACATCATTTTGTTAGCTGTCTGCCACCTAATTGCCTTTCACCTTTACAAAAATTAAGTTCTACTGAACATATTTCATAGGGAAAAAAGGAAAACAAACCCCAACACTTACTATCTGACATAGGCACTTGTGTTCATTGACCATTTTTTCCAGAGACAGACATTCAATCACATCAGCTTCTCCTAAAGCCCCTTCCTTGTCTTGTTTATTTGCCAACCTATAGAGATATAAAGAAAGTGTTTTTATAGCAAATGTGTAATCAGACAGCCACTTAAAAATACTTTCACCACATTCTCATCCCAAAGTTTTAAACCTACTGACTACAGAATATACTGATTTAAGAGAGTACTACAGAATCTATTTCACCATTTTTTCCTAAAATAAGTTTGTGAGAATTGACCTAAGAAAGAGTCGTCAGGTAGGTTAAGAAAACAAGCAATAGGTCAATAGGCCAACAAGATAGAAAAAGACTAGTTTCATACCCCTCAGCCATCAATTCTAATTTTCACATTATGTCTTTATCTTCTTAAAATACATGCACCATGATGCAAATACGCTTATCTTATGTCCTTATCTTCTGAAAATACAAAATAGTCTTGTTTTAAATACTCAAATGTTCATTCTGAGCTTGTAATATTTGAGCTCATCTGTATTTCCAGTGTGTGAACGTGTCCACATAAATCATGCAATTTACTGGAGAGGTGGAGCCACTTCTGTCTCATTTACTTTGCATAGCACTGCACATAAAGAACATTATATTCAATTAGAAACAAACTGGGAAACAACAAAGTGAAAAACATCAAAAGTTCTTTATGTGTGTGTGTGTGTGTGTGTGTGTGTGTGTGTGTGTGTATATTTTTTTTTTTTTTTTTTCAGAGAGGGGGGGAGAGGGAGAGAGAGAAACATCAATC